GCAGAGGGGCGATCACATGTTCGCCCGCCTGGGATTAGATGTGGCCGGTGGCGGCTGGGAGCCGAGCCCAGCGCCTGGCCGCGGGCGCTACGAGCCCATGGCCCCGGGCAGCCGGGTACAGCAGCCGTAGGGCCCCGGATGATGTCCTACCTGCAGCCCCCTGGCCGGAACCCGGAGCGCTTCGATGGGCTTTCCCTCATTTATTGGTAAGCGGGACGGGATGCTGCCGCGTCGGGAACAGGGCTGAGCTCGGAGGCTCGCGTCGCGTCTTAGGAAGAGGCGTTAAACCTAGGGAAGGATGTGATGCCCTCGTTGACCTCACGGCTTTTAAGGGTTTAATTCCATCGATTATGGCAGCGGGAGCCCCTCTCCAGAGGGCAGAGGGTGTCAGGAGAATGCTGCAGCCACGGGGAAGGTCTGGAGCCCCAGCACGCAGGGGTGCACACCGTGGGAGGGCAGTGCGTGGGGAGGGCAGAGAGGGGATTGATTTGTTTTGCAGGCGGCAGCTCGGGGAGCATCCATGCTGCTTGCAGAGGCTGCGAGTGCTCCTGTTGCAGCCCCAGTCTTGGGATTTCCCATCCAGATGCTTCCTCTCAGCACCAAGCTTGGAAGGAGAGCGTCCATCCCATGCAGATCTGTTGGGCACCACTGGCACGGGCAGGGCTGCACCACGAGTGGCAGAGATTGCCCTGAGCCATGGGGTGATCTGAAGGCATCTGCAGTGCCCCCATCCCAAAACACAGAGCCGGGTTTCTGTGCAGGCTGTGGGCTCGGTGCAGATGTCTATGTAGGGCAGCCAGGAGCCGGCAGGAATGCGGCTGCAGCCAGAGCCAGGGTTCAGAGCATGAGGCTTTAGCCGATTAACTGGGGGTCAGTGGGCCGGCGTGGACTCCACAGGCTCTTGGGGCCACCCTGAGCTCCAGTGCTGGCCAAACCCCAGCATCCCAGCTGGGAATGAGGACCCTGCAGGCAGCCGGGACCATGGATGTCTGTCGAATGCAGCTGGAGTAGTCACTGAGGTGAGGGATATGGGATGCTGAGGTGGGTGCATGGAGTGGCAGCACTCCGTGGGAGGCATGGAGAGGGTGGCACTTGGGGGGGACAGCTGCATCTCACCAGGGGGCTGCACTGGTCCTTCCCCTCTGCTTTTGAGTGCAGGAAAGGCAGAATCTGCTGTTGGTCATTAGGCGGTGGTGTGGGACAGGCTCACTGACCTTGTGGGTTGCATCCTGCCACCAGCTTGGTGCCAGCCAAGGGGCTGTGGTGGCTGAGGGTCAGGGAAATCAGGGTGGCACAGTACCTCAATCCTACAGCATCCCCACATCCCCGAGCACCCCCAGCTCTGCGGAGCTGCGTGCTCCCCAGCTCTGCCTCTCCATGTTGTGGGGCGATGTTTCTCAAAAGTTATTTTCTATGTGAGAAATCTGTTCTTGTGTTGTGGTTTTGGGTCCAAACCTTCCCTAAATTTGTGCCCCACAGCCAAGGGGAGCCCCTCGCTGTGCCAGGGCCGGACCCTGTGTGTGATGGGCACCAGATGTACGGGGACAGCGTGGGGCTGTCTGGTTCTGCTGCGAGCAGATGGTGGGGAGATAACACCTCCCCAGCACACCGATAAATATGGCTGCTGATTAAAAGATTAATTTTACAGAGTTTGCCATAGGGATTTGATAAACATGGTGTGGCAGTGGGACATTGCCCAGTGCGGCGGTGGCCCTGGTGCTCTGTGCTGCGCACCCTGAGCTGACCCTGAGGGCTTTGCCACATGGATCTGGTCCTCCTGAGCTTTGCCAAAGGGCTTGGCGATGGATCCTTAGCACACAGGGATGCTCACAGCTCGAGGATGGGTTCTTACCAAGCTCTTACCAAGCTGCTGTTTGAGGTGTGGAGCTGCATCTCCATCGGCATCTGCTGCGCTCCACGCTAGGTGAGACATCCTGTGCAAGGGTGATCCTTCCCCAAAGCCTTCATTTCCTCATCTCTCTGCACCCTTCTTGTTTCTCTCTTTCCCTGAGGGCACGCTAGGGGCCACCTGGGCTGGTTTCCTGCCACCACTGTGGTGCCCTCCCCAATTAATTCCCTGCTCTGCAGGACTGCGGGGGTGGTGATGATGCTCCCTCCTGCTGCCCGCTCAGCCACCAGCATCCTTCCCTGCTAATAAGTTTATAACCCGTCCAATCCTATGACCGAGGGGATTTAGTGAGGCAGGGAGGCTCATAATCCCGTTAACCCTTCGTGGGTCCCATCCCACTGCTGAGGAGTAGCTGCAGAGGTCCACGCAGCTCCTGCTCTCCGCCAGAGCCATCGGTGTTTCTCCAGCAGTGACTTTGGCACTGTGCTGTTCCCTCTTCTGTCCAGGCTTGTTTGTAACACCCCTGATTTGAGTTCACTCGAAACAGCCCCAGGGGCAGTGTTTATGAACACGGTGTGGGTGATGCTGTGGACTGTCTGCTGTTGCTTCTCAGCTTTATAGCAGCCGATTATCTCTTTTTGTTTGATTTATTATCAACGCTTCGTTGCCGATCTTCTAAGCAATGTTTTCTCATCAGACACAAACACCTTTTCAGCCTACGCTGATGTTTTGTCATGAAACAAATGTGGGATCTTCATTAAGCGTGAGCCCAACATCACCTCTGGGGATCTCCTGAGCATCCCTCGCTCCCACGGTGGGGACGTGGGGGCACAGAAGGGACTGCAGTGCCACATCCCACTGAGGCCACCCCTCCCACCTCAGACCTTCTTACAGCCGCCTTCTGCAGCCTCACAGTCGCTGCTGTTGAAGGACGGCTTTCTGTCTCTCCCTTAATTCCCACCCACACAAACCCTCCCAGACCCCGTTCCTCTGCTAAGCCTTGATGCAAGGCTCCTGGTGAGAGCAGTGACACTGCCAACTCCGTGACCTGTCCACAGGTCTGACACCTGTGTGCCCTCTCCTTGCCTGGCAGTAGGAGGGGTTGGCCATGTTTGTGGGTGCCACCACCCTGTCCTGCTCCCACCCACCCTTCCTGCCACCTCTCACCTCCTCCTGAAGCTCACCCAACAAGCAGGGCAGGTAGGAGGCAGCAGGAAGAAATGTGGAAGAGGCAGAAGTGCACTGTGATGTTTTCCCGGAAGGTCCTCTCCAAAATATAGAGGAGAGGTGGAGAAAATTGCAGCAGGGGATTGCACCCACTCATAATTTTCCATTACATAGAAAGGAAATTCTCACCAGTGCTGTTGCACTGCCACCTGACCCGTTCCATCTCATAGATGGACCCGTTCAGGTTGGAGAAGACCTCTCAGACCACCCAACCCACTGACCGTATCCCTCAGTGCCACATCCCCACGATCCTTGAACACCTCCAGGGACAGTGACTGCATCACCTCCCTTGGCAGCCTGTGCCTCCACTGGCACAACTGATGCCATCACCTCTCATCCTATCTGTGTTACCCGGGAGCAGAGGCTGACCCCAGCTCCCTCAGCTGCTCCCAATCAGACTTGTGCTCCAGACCTATCATAGCTCCATTGCCCCTCTCTAGACACATTCCAGGGTTTTGATGTCTTTGTTCTGAACGTGGGCACCTTCCATTCACAAACTCATTAACAAATGCGTATTCTTGTCAGTGGGTTCTTGGGATGTGGAACCTGGGCTGTTCTGGGTGACTGAGCTGGGTTCCCAGAGAGGGAAGAGCTTGAGTGAGGGGTACCTCCCCTGTGCCTTCAGCAGCAGTGACACAGAAGGGTCAGACCCCTTGGGCACACTGCACGTGCTTTATAAATCCCTCCTGAACACGAGCCCAATTCTCATTAGAAACAGAAACACTTCTGGAATTATTTTGATCTCCCTGGTTGGATTTCAGTTTGCTTCACCACTCAGCAGACAAATGTATGTGTTGTTGCACCCACTGCAGCCAGTTGGAAGCTATCAGCATATGGGAAGAACAAGGGGAGACCTGGGTGGCCCCAGTGCAGGGCAGTCTGGTGACTGCTGCTGTAGGGTTTGCCTTTGAATATATTGAATGTCCAAGTCTCCAACACACACACTTAACACTGCAGGCATTGCTTCCAGCACTTGTGCCATCACTTTCATAGAATCATAGAGTCATTCAGGTTGGAAAAGACCTCTGACATCCCCAGGTCCAAACCCAACCTATCCCACCGTGCCCACTGACCATGTCTCTTGGTGCCTCATCCCCACAGTTCATGAGTACCTTCAGGGACAGTGACTCCCCCACTCCCCTTGGGCAGCAGTACCAATGCCCCGCTGCTCTTTCCTAATACCCAACCTGAACCTCCTCTGCTGCTGCACACTGATTTATTCGAGAGAAATCTCCAGCTTGCGAGTCAAAAGGTTAATTCTGTGAATTAATCCATGAGGAGTCCCAGAGGACTTCCTAAAATTGTACAAAACAATGTAGGCTGAATACAGTGGTGGGTTGGAAGCACTCTCTTCCTGTGACCAGGAGGGTCATCAGTGCTGTCCATCATGTAACCTTGGGAGGGTAGCACCAGATCAGCTGCCAAAAAGTCCTGCCCAAGGCAGACACTGTGCTGGGGTGCTCCTGGACCCCAAGAGGCTGTGCTCTGCGTGCAAGCCACAAAACCCCGTCTGTTCTTGACCAATTCGCTCAGGATCAGAACTTGGTACTGGGACCACCAAGGGGTGGGTGGAAGCTGCAGGGTGGGAGGACACTCTCTGTGGAGCCTGCCTTTGGGTGCTCTGTGTCCTGGAGCATAGCTGGGGGATCATTGGGGAGAGAGTTGCTAACAAGGCTCCCAGCCATAGGGCACAGCGAGACATGACACTGCACAGACCCTCATGCTCCTTTACTCCTGGTCCCATTGAGCAAATCTTTCATGCAGTGTGTAGTGGAAATGTGAAGTCATGGCCTGAAGCAGTGATGGAGCACCTGGTGGGAAGGCAGGGCCAACCCAGGGGAGCTCAGGTGCATGCAATACAGCTGAACGACCAGAAGGTGTGAAGCCAGGATCCCCCCCTTCCCAGACCTCATTTAAGGGTTGGCAGTGGAAATGGGGGTGTTTCATCTGGAGATTACTGCCTACCAGATGGCCTTGCAGGCCTTCTGAAGGTAAGCAGCTTCTTTCCCTTATTTCTGAGCTTACTGCTGTGGCATCTGAGTGGATCCTCACTTGCTGCAGCTGGGACCTCGTTCTGCTGTCTTGATATGCTTTTCATTGCATGACCCTGTGTTAGTTATGTGCTGAGTGCCTTGTATTGGTGTGTTATGAGGTGCATCTACACTTGGTGTCCAGTTGGCATTCTTTCTATGAGATCAGAAAATGGATAAATGAGTTGTGTATGGGGAGAGCTTTGCCTACCCAAAGGCTTGCTGTGGGTGTTCAGTATTTCATCTGCACTCACCTGGACAAAAGCCTCCTGAAAACATCCCATGTTGAAAACAAAGGAGATCTTTTATGTTTTTTGCTATTTTACAAGTAGCTCCACGTTGTCCGTTAAGGTGGCACATGGGCAATGGGGGAACTCTCCCATTCACTTCTCATCCATGGGAGTAGCATCCAGAAGTATCAGGTCTAAGTAAATACTTGACAGAGTGTTTAAAGTGGAAGAAAAACCCCATTAATGGAGCTTGAATATCCCAGGGTGCAGGACATGCACTGTGCCACCAGTCCTGGTGCCTGTTGTCCCAGGAGGATGTGTTTCCATGTCCCACCACCTAGGGATGTGGGCTGGGGATGCACAGCAGGATGGAAGCAGAAGAGGCTGTTTGAGGGCAGAATACCCTTCTGACCTCCTGATGGGCAGTGGAACAGCTGAACTCACTTCACATTAAGTAGGAAATGCTGTGGGCTGGAAAAGATGCTAAAAGAAAATCAAACAAACAAAAACCTCCAAAACTAAACCCTTGAGTGCTACAATCTGTTACCGCTTCCAAAGCTTTGCAGTGGACTTAAAGTCTTTAGGGATGCTGAGGATGCTTGTCCTGCACTGATCACTGCCCTTCATCCCTGTAGGGCATGCGCCTGAAGGTGAACAATAGGATGTGCCCAAATAATTATCCCACTCTTTTAATTGGGGAGGGGAGGTGGAGGGGGGAGCAGCTCTGTGCCCGCCTTCCCAGGAAGGCACTCACGATGGGCAGCGTTGGCTCTGTTTGGCTTGCGTAAGCTTTAATCTAAAGTTGGAGATGTTTTTAGCTGATCTGTGTTAATGTTGGGTGGAATTAACATGCATACGGGGGCACCACGTGACCCCTGCCCTCCCCATTTTGCCTCGCTTTAACGGATTCCTGCCAAATCAGAGCGGCCGGGCTGGGTTGCCGCCACCAGCAAGATGCCCGCCGTCTCCGTGCTCTACAAGGGAGCCATCATCATCAGCAGGTGACACTGCGGAGAGGTCGGGGAGGGGTTCTGGGGGGTTCTGGGGATCTTCTGAAATGAGTCTTGGGCTCCTCGAATTGGGGGCAACATCTGGTGGCATTGGCAGGCATCTGCTCTACTGACACCTCTATTGTTGCGTTGCGTTTCAGCTTGGCTTGAGCCACTTGTTTTTGTTCCTGATGGTGTTTTCTCAAACACTTAATCAAAAGACTCTGGAAAACGGGGATGGTGATCCTCAGTTGGGGCTGGGGTGGCCTCCTGGACACCCTCCAAATGCATCTTCTAGCAGTGCACAATGGGGCCAGCTGTTTGTCTGGTCTCTTGAATGCATGGAACGTTGCAAGAACGTCAAGGGGGGGGAGGTGGTTTTTAATGAGGAGATTTTTGAGAGGTGTTTTGGAGGGCTGATAGAAGTCCCTGAGGCTCCTTCCCCTCTTGCTGGGTTCAGAGTTATGTGTTGTGTCCCCTTGTCCCTCCTCAGCTGCATCCAGCAAGAATTCAGGACCTAATCTTGATTCAGAAGTTCTGTTTTTGCCTTGCAAGTGAAATTCTGGGAAAATGAGCATTTTAGGAGAGCACTCCCACAGCTGATAACCCAATGCCTGGCTGTGGTAAAGTCCACCATTCCCATGGTGCAGAGCAGGAGCAGAGTTCTAAAGCCAGGCTTCATTAAACTAAGTTTTAAACATAATATAAAAGAGAGAAGGGAGTGTAGAGAGTGTAGGACGTGACTTGGCATGGGGAAAGTGAAGATTTCAGTTGCTCTCTTCCCTGCTTTGGCTTGTGTTGAGAAACTCCCACCTTCAACCTGGCAAAGCAGATCCTTGCAGGAGGGGTGGAGGTGTGGGAATACAACCCCTGCCTCCCCATGTTGTGCTCTGTGTGTGCGTTACAAAACATCAGCAATAGGTTTTGCCTGGTTTTCCCCGTTATGGACTGTGTCTATTTGTGAAACTGATATATTCTCGGAACACTGGTCTGGCCCTGATCTCATTTCCCAGAGCTGGACAGCTGTCCGGCCCTGTTAATCTGGGGTAATGAATTGCAGACAGGTCCATCAGCTTTGCTGGGTGGGGAGGATGATATCCAGCACTGCCCATATTCTTTCATTTAGCTGCATAAACCCCCGGGGTGGCAGGGGGGCTGCATTTTGCAAGCATAGGCTTAATATATCAATGAGACTCTGAGCTGGTCATCCCCTTGGTCATCTCATGGGGACCCCCTGCTGTGGTGGCAGGGCTGCTCTGGGTTTGTTGGACACATGGGTGGCAATTTATGGCAGCCCATGAAAGAAAGATGCCTCTCCTCTCTCTCCCAGGACACTCATGGGACCATATGGGATGGATCGAACTGTGCATTGCTTTGAATTCTATGACTGTGCCAATGGACTGGGTGAGTCTTGAGACCCCCCCTGAAACCCCAGCATCCCTCATGTCACAACGTTAGTGTTATGATCTGTTCCCTATCTGAAAGGTTGGATGGGGCCCTGGGCAGCCTGATCTCGTGGCTGGTAAATGTGCCCATGCTGGGAGGTTGAAGCTCAATGATCTTCAAGGTCCTGTGTAATCTAAGCCATCCATGACCCTGTGAAACCTGATATTGGTTCTTGTGCCTGTATGTGCTGAACATTTGACAGCACCTTTATCAGCTGAGGCATTAAAATAAGGTCAAAATCCTGATTAATTCCCTATTGGTGACATATGAGCAGCTGCAGTGCTGTGTCTGCATGGGAACCCTGGGGTAGGGCCTGAATAGGGCTGGGGAGGGGGGGGAAGGTTTTTCACAACTTTCTGCAGATCTTGATTTCTCTACATTAAAACAAAACAACAAAAAAAGAAAATTCCAAGCACTTTCTATGCCCATGCCAGTGTTCTGGTCCCAGGAAGTCCTGGAGATGGGGCTACCAGAGAGCAGGCTGGATCCCATTGGAAACTCCAGCCCAGAGGTATGAGCATGAACACAGTGAGTCAGCCATCCTTTGTAGGGCACCCAACATCAAAGCACAGGGAAAAGGGAAAGGAGATGGCCATGCCCATCTGTACGTGAGAAATTGCCTTAGGCTCATAGAAGTCAGCGGCAAAGGATCCAGTATAGCATCTCCTTCCACCCCTGTGTGTGCTCCCAGCAGCAATCACCCTGCAAAGCCTCTGAGGTCCCTAGGTCATCAGCTGGGGACCCATCCCATGAGTCAACCTCCTCAGGTTTCCTGCGACCACCTGTTAATTATGGAGGTTGTTCCCAGTTCTTGGCTAATGATGTTTCCTGGCTCTTCTCTCTTGGTCTTCCACTCATGAGAGGCCCATGGGAACTCAGGACTTTCTTTGCTTGCTGGCTATTTTAATGTCAGGAGGTATATTTGGTTGATGAGGTTGGATTTGGTTGAGTTGAAGGGATTTTAGCTGTTGGGTCAGCTTAGCTTATTAAGGGAGGAGAGCCAGGAAAAGTATTCTTGTGCTGTGCTGCTGGTAGGTGTAACTGTGAGGGTCTTCTAGTGCCATCACCACCTTTCTCCATGCTTCTTCCCTGTGGATCCAGGTGTTTTTGCAGCCTGGCTTCTGACAGGCAGCAGCAGCCCGCTTGGTGCTGGTGAAATGGGTCAGCATTTGGCCTGAGTCTGAGGCTTCACTGCTTGGTGTGGAAGCCCACATGTGAATCTGGGCAGGAGTTCAAAGAGGTTACCTGGTGGTTCCAGAACCAAGGTTTGGAGTTGAAGAATTGTCACCAAGGAGAAGTGATGCTTAAAGAGCATTTCTTAGAAACGCTGAGATCCCATTATCTTGACCTTCATCTTCTTAGGACAGGGAAGGGAGCAGTTCACCTGCAATCTGTCCCTTCCTTCAGACAGAAAGAGCTGGCTGGGGCTACAAGATCAACAGAGGGATTACGAGAAATGTAATTGAACATTGCTAGCTTAAGCAGAAAGCAGGCAGCCTCACCCTGTGCTGACTTCCAGGGCTGCAGCACGGTGCTGCTGGGGCTGGGGTCCCCCCAGAAAGGGAATTTCAGTGGTGAGGTGGTAGAAGAGGGAAGAGGAGGGTTTGGGTTCCCGTGCTTGGAGCAGAGCCCATGCTGTTGGGATGTCCAGGGATGAAGGCTGTTGGGCCAAACAACCGGATTAGCCAGCACAGCCCTGACCCGTGGTGCAGAGCTGCCTGGTGAGCCAGGAGCAGGTGAGATTATAGGGCTGAGAAGTTAACTACAACACTGGCATTAGTGGGAGCAGGATTAGATGCAGCTGGGAAGCTTGAGGGTCTCAGAAATATATAGGATTGCTAGGAATCTGGAGAAAACTTTGGTTTGGTTTGTGTAAACTGAATTCCCACCTGGAATTTCCCTGTAAGTCTTTTTTTTTTTTTTTAATAGAAAAGAAATAAGTGGGGTCACCAGAATCAGCTCCAGGACCTTTGCCAGAATAGGAAGATTAAAGACAGAGATCTAAAATAGGCTAGATTATCTGGCCCTGAGTATGACTTAATAAGCATTATACTGGGACTTTGATGCTGTGATAATTAAAGAGCCGTTATTTACCTAAACTGGGTCTCAGATAGAAACTCAATTGAAATAGGTGTTTATAAAACACGAGGGCTCTCAGGAATGCTAGCCAAGCTTCAGAAATCCCAAACAACGCCCTGAAGGGTGGTGGATGGTGAGGCTGAGCATCGTGCCTGCTCTGGGCTGGGACCCCCATATGGGACAGGTTGTGTTCATCACTGCCAGCCTCATCCTATTCCATTGCTCAGTGCCAACCCCTGGCCTGGGTGGGGACACTTGGTGCAACATTCTCTTGTTTAGGGAGAGAAAAGGGGGTTTTAGTTGGTTTTTTTTTTTCCCCCTTGTCAAAATTTGAGCGTGGCTAGAAGCAATGCTGTGAGTAATCACTGATTTTTAATAACAAGTTCAGATTTTCCCCTGACATTGTTGGAGATAAAGGAGGATTTGTAGATACTTCTGCTGTATTAAGCCATTATTACAATTGAGTTGCAGACACTGGGAGAGAAATGAGTCATTATTCAGTTGATATACCTGGGTTTGATATACCTGGGAGGTGGTTGTGAACGGGCATCATGGTGCTGCTGGATGCTCTCCCAGCTGCACCACCTCTGAGGTGTACATCTGTACACATCTGTACCTCCTTTCCCTGATGTGTGCTGCCATCCCCATTTGTCTCATTGGTAATCTGGGCTGCCATCCCTCCCTGCCCCCCACGTGGACTTCCAGTGTCCCTGTGCTCCTGGCACAGCATCCCCCATACTGTGTCCTCCTGAGCACACCAGGTGTGACCCTGCTCCCCAGGGCTCTTTGCCACCCATTGTCACAGCTATGGTCAGCATTTCCACCAGTGGGCTACAGCCAGCTGCTACAGGATGCACTTTGCATAACAGGGCTGGGGTTCATGGAATCACTGAATCATCTGATTTGAAAGGGACCCTTAAAGGCTATCTGGTCCCACCCCTCTGCAATAAACAGGGACACCCACAGCTCCATCAGTGCTCAGAGCCCATCCAGCTTGAGTTTGGGTGTCTGCAGGGATGGGGCATCATCTCTGTGCCGTTGCCTCACCACCTGTATCGTTGGCTGGGAGAAGGAGCAGTGTGTATGTGGCCGAAATGAAAAATTATGATAGTCTGTGTTTTACCACAAATTTAACATGAGAGAACTCCAAACGTGAGGTCTTTCCCCAGGGATAGCTGGAAATTGTTGGGCCCTTAGGGTTTAGGATACAGTGAGTGCAGAGCTGTGGGTAGATGCTGTTTTGCTGTCCCCAGAAGTCTTGAGCTGGGGCCAACACTAGGGCATGTCCCTGCTGCTGTGCCACTGTCCTCAGCCTGCCCTCCTGGCCACAGCAGCTGAATGCCCGACCGGCGGGTCCTGGGACAGATTTGTTAATTAAAGCCAAGCTTTTTAATCCTTCTGTCTGCAGCCTGTATCCTCCAAGTGGGATTTAATGAGTGGGTAAATAAGTCTCTTGTGCCTCTTCCAGCCAGCTTACTTGTGCCAGCGGGGATGCGGCCACGCAGTGCCAGCCTGTGGTGAGGGAATCCGTAGGGCATGGGGAGCTGCACAGCCCCCAATGCCATCCCTGTGCTTTACCACTGCAAAACCCAGTGGCTCTCATCAGAGGCGTACATAAGAGCAGAATCGTGCCCTTTCCCAGCATTGATCACTTTAACTTCAAACGCTGAGTTCTCAGTTGTTAGAAAGCAGTCATTCCTGGCTTGAGCTCTCCTCAAAGTGGAGGAGGTGCTCTTGGATGCTCTGGGCTTCTGTCCTATGTTATTGACATCATCCTGCTGCTGGTGTAGCACAGAGGTGCACAGGACTTATCATAGCTACAATTTGGCTTGCAACAAGTCAGATCCAAGAGTGAGCCTTTCATGCCTTGGTGCCATGGTGCTTCTCCTCCCCCAGGAATCAAGGTGATCGGCGGCATCAAGGAGCTCACTGGAGAAGAATATGGAGTTTATGTCAAGAGGATCCTGCCAGGTGGTGTTGCTTATGCTGATGGTGAGTGAAACATGGAAGAGGGTGATTGGAAAAGCTAGAGGATGGTATATTCTATATGCTGCTTTGTTGGGCATTTTGGATGTTTCCTTCTAGATTCTCCAGCAGCGGTGTTGGGTTTAGCAATGATAATCACTGCAGTGAAGGAGGGCAGCCTTGCCTTTGGGCTCTGCAGCTTTTGTAGGATTGCTTTGTGTCTTTAAGCTGAGTTCCATCCTCATGACGTGAAGCTCACTCCACTTCTCTGCTTGCAGTGATTGCATGAGTTTGCATACAGCAGTGGGATGACTTCTTCAGATCAGTGGGTATTAGGCAAGGGGTCTGCAGAGTTCACCTTTCAGAACTTAATCCAAGAAGACTTCTTTTTTTTTTTCCCCCCAAAGTTACAACATCATTTTTTCCATCCAAAGCAAAACAATCAAGAGCAGGTGGAGGTGCCACTTGTGGGCTTTTTCCTTGACCTTATATTGAATTAAGCAAAAGTTTTTATGTCACTTTGCCTTTGTCTTTGTGCCTCCCTACAGCATGGGAGGCCTCTGATGTTGGCAGAGTTGTTCAGGGACGTGGTAGAAACTTCATCTAGGGATATCTTGAAAAACAGGTTGGATGAGCATCTCAAAGCGACCCATGCATATTTCATTCTGTCTCTGAACAAAGGCAGGAACAGCCCAACCTCTCCAAGTCCCTTCAAGCTGCACTTTCTGCAGTTTTTATCCATTAGTTTTCTTTTCTAGGGCGCCTGCAGCCAGGAGACCAGATCCTGGAGGTCAATGGAGATTCTCTAATTGGGGTTACCAGTGAGAGGTACTGTATCAAGACAGAAATCTTGCATTCCTCTTGGTTTTGTGTGGTTCTGTGAAGTGGTTTAGGCTGCAGGTTGCATGGAGGACACCAGGGCATTGCTTTGCCTGTGCTCTGTTGCAAACAAAGGGATTCTGTACCCAGCACTGTTCCCAAGGGCCAACTCGGGAATCATCAAATGAGAAGTATGTGTGTGAAAACAGCTGAGTTTGATGTGAGCTTTGACATATGGCTGGGTGAAAACAATGCAGCCCCACTCTGACCTGGCACTGACGCATTGTGGTTCTTGTCCTGCAGGGCTGTGGACATCCTGAGGACAGCATCAGCCACCAGCCACATGCGCCTTCTGATAGCCCGCGATGATGATGCCAGGTGAGGGGTGACATCTTGCACTGGGAAGGGTGATGGTGGCATTTGTTGGCACCTGGAAAGTGTTTGCAAGACTGGGCTTCAAGTCCATGGTAAAGATAGAAGTGGCCAAGGGTCTTTGGCTGAGGGCAGTGTGGGCATGGGGAGGCTCCTCCAGCATCATTGTGTGCTGTTGAGTTGCTTACAGCTTATGGCATCTTACATAGAGCTCTGGGTGAAGATGTGCAAGGACAGTAGGAACTTCTTTCCTTTTCAGTTAGCTGCATTGAGTTTCCTTCACACTGCCTTCTCTGGAGGATTCCTTCCTGCCAATGGAGGATGAGTTTTTTCTCCCTAAAACGTCTCCTTTTGAGGTTTTGCTTCTTTAGAAGCAATTTGAGGCACTGAAAGGAGAAGGAAAGAGTTCAGTTTGGTCTTGGCTGGATGATAATGATGGTGTCACCAGGGCAGCACTGTGGAAAGGCAGATATGGGATGCTCACATCTGCAGGGGGATTTGGTGCAGTGTGCTGAAGCATCTCTTTTTGGTTCATCTGGGACATTGAGGTGCACCAGGAACCACAGACATGAGTGGGGGAAGGCCAGGTGCTGTCATGGGCTTTGTGCTGCAGGTTGCCTCATCACTTGCTCAATGCACCCATGTCCTGTTAGTGTCAGGGACTGTGGTTTCATTTCTTATCCATCAATAGCCGTGGAGCATCGCTCCCTTAGCTCAGTGGTGAGAGTGCTGTAATGACAGGGCTGAGAAGCATTATATTTTGGTGGAAGAAGTATTTGGTATTAATGACAAACTACTACTTTTTATTGTGCTTTATAAAAGGAAACTGCATCCCAAATCGTGACACAAAGCCTGAGTCCCTCAGTAGGTGCTGCAGAAGCTCTGGGTGAGGCCATGAGGTTGATATAAGCAGGGATACTCAACTCTTCATTGATTTCTGTCTGCTCTGAGCTGCTCAGGCCCCTCGACCTCGCCTCCTAATATTGTAAACTGCAGCAGATGGTTCTTAAAGCATCCCCACGTGTGGCTCTGGCTGCAGCTGCAGCTCCTGTGAGGCAGTGCAGAGCCTGGCTGGGGGCAGGCAGACCTCCAGCACTGTGCTCAGCCTCCGTCTGCTCATCTGTTAAATCTGCAAAAGGTTACCCAGAGGGACAGGGGGGGAAGTAAGCAGTTTATTTATTGGTTTTTGGTTTTTTTTTTTTTGGTAAAGATTTGCAGAGATTTCACTTACATAATCATCTCACAGACGATGTATTTCCAGATGAAGGGCTGTGGAACAAGGAGGAAGGATTTTCCTCCTTCCTGCCTACCCTTTTTTTGTTTCTCCTTACATCTGCCTTCATTTTTTACAATGCCATGTCAGCTTTCCGGGACATGGGCTGAGCACCACCCTGCAGCTTTTCTTTGCAAACCCTCAGCATAGGAGGCACAGCGGGGGAGGAAAGGCGATGGCTCTGGGTTTGGAAGAAGATTCGCCCTGCCTGCCAATTTTCCCCATGACTCAGCTGAGTAGCATTTTGCCGTGGTTGCCCTTGGGTGAATTTGACTTATAAACGCTATTATTTGTCCCTGAAGTTAATTATAGGCCCCAATTACCTGTGCTGTTAATGGATCTCAGTCCTGGCATGTATAAGATGCGTGTTTTTTGGCCAGGCACATCAGGCGTGCTGCAGAGAGCTGCAGTAATGCTAGGGCTCAGAGCAGAGCATTCAGATTTAGAGCTCTGGACACTCTGGAGGACTGTTGGATCTCATTTCATCTGTGCTCCTCTTTGGCTAATGAGGATAATTTTATTGCATACGTGTAATCGTTGTTTATTCATCCTCAGCCTGAAAGTTACAATAGCTCCTTGTTTCCGTGGGCTGTGCTGATACCATCCTGGTCTTTCAGGTTTATTGCTGTGAGAAAGCCTTCCTGCACCTCCTAGCACAGTTTGGCTGGTGTTTGATCGTGCATCTGAGCATGATACATGTGGTCACCTTGTCAAAAATGGGCTGATGTGTTAATCATGCCTTCCTGTACGCAGTGGTTGCAACATGCATAGAGCAAATGCAAGGTGATCCCCTCACCTTGCAAGCTCCAGCTGTGGGTGAGGGCCAGCTCCTGTGACTGCTCTCATAGAATGGTTTGAGTTGAAGGAACCTTTGAAGGCCATCTGGTCCCACTGCACGTGATGAACAAGAACACCCATAGCTCCATCAGGTGCACAGAGCACATCCAGCCTGAAAACCTTCACTCCAGCAAGCCTGATATCCCAGGCACTTTATCTGCTCTTAAAGAAGGAGCACAGGTTCTTTCACCCCAAAGCCACGATGCACATGTGCCCATCACTGCTTTCCAGGCACGTGTGTGGCTCCGTGGATATGGAGCATCACCCACCTCAGAGCTGGAAATGCCACAGCTGCTGTGTGATGGGTGTGAGAAAACAGCCTTGCTGGCTACTTGCATCATGGTTGCAGGTTCAGGGTTCCTCTGCCCTGCAGGCTTTATTTATTGAGATGCTATTAACGAGTGCAGTGTCCCAAGCTCCTCTTTCCCCTTGATGCAGGGCTCAGGCTTCCAGACGCGCGGTGCTCTCACGTCACCTTTGATGTTGGACTCACCCTTTGTTCTCCTAAGAGCAAAAGGGCAGGACAAAAAGGTATTATGAGATAAAACAACAATATTCTGCGGGAAGATTGACCCCTGCTGCTTAATCTGCTGCAAAGTCGACCGCAGCTGGCTGCTGCTGCATCCCCATCATCCAAGCCCACACTGCTGAGCTCTGTGCAGGGCAGCTCCAGGCCCTGCACTGCCCCAGCTCAAAGTAAAAGATATATATATTTTTAAGTATTTAAAATGACTTCTGAGGTATCTTAGCATCTGAAAGGACAAAGTGAGATTATTATTTTTTTCTTTTAGCATTCTTCCAGTGCACTGGTTCAGTGACTGGGCTTCATCCACGCATTTGCAAATCCCACGTCATAGAATCATTTGAGCTGGAAGGACTCTTTAAAGACCACCTGGTCCCACCCCCTGCGTGAATGGGGATACCCACAGCTCCATCAGTGCTCAGAGCCCACCCAGCCTGACCTTGTGGGTCTGCAGGGCTGGGGCAGCATGTGCCAGTGCCTCTCTGCTCTTATTGTAAAGAACTTCTTTCTTATATCCAATCTGATCTCCCCTTCTTTAGTTTGAAGGCATTTTCTCTTTTCCTCCCCCAGCAGACTGCTTCCATTCTTACAGCCCCTTCAGACACTGAAGGGCCACTCCTGACTCTCCCTGGAGCTCTCTCTCCTCCAGATTCTCTTCTTCAAATATGAGTAAAAAACAGTGCATTGCTTGCTGCTGGGATAACCTTCAAGTTAATCATATCTTCATGCCTTCATGGAATTGCTGCTTGCAGTATTGACCAACAAAGCAGGAGCCAGGAGGGCAGCGTGCAACTCAGGTTGTCACCCGTCCCTCCAGCAAGCGGCTGGGCTGGACACCTCACTTTGTGGATGAACAAAACTCAAATAACATGAAAGAATGCCCCAGCCTTGCCTGCCCTGGCTCATAACAAAGGGTTTGACAGCACGGGCTGTTGATTGGGCTTGCATTGTTCGGCAGGGCTAAAGAACACAGGAGCTGCTGGACCAGTTGCATTTGCATTGACTAAGAATTTTGTAGCCATTGTTTTAAGTTCATAACCTGTCCCGTGCTCTGCTGAATTATTATCTGGGGAAAATGTAACAATGAATGACCACAGAAACACCCATTCCAAAACAAAAAGCCAGCTGCTGATGGCTAGGTAATCACTGGAAATAGCATGTTAGCTTCTAGCAAGTTAGCCCTGCCATTACAGTAGGTGACAGAGGGATGACTCCATCCATCGCCACAGGAGTTACCAGTGAATGGGGATCTGAATGCTCTGTGAAAATACAAGGCTTTTATTGGAAAATCTGGAAAATTCTGCTAGGGTAAGATCCGTTCAAGGCTTACCCCAAGGAAATTATCCCAAGGAAAGCACGGGATGGGAAATGAACATCCTATTGCTATAGGATCTATCCAAGCTATCCTTCAACTTATTCAGTGCTCAGACATGTTTTACTGTTTAATACTAGAAGTTACCATCTGGAGTAGCTTCACAGAAGTGAGGTTTTGGGATGGTTGACTGTTAATGTACCCATTCTAGGGTGTCCCTTGGATATCCTTGTCAGGGCAGCAGTTTGCCTCTTCCTGGCAAGCCTGTACCCCGAAAGCTGCAAAGGCTGCCTGAACAGAATGGTCAACACGTTTGGGTTCTGGTTAACCACGCAGCCACTCATCTTCCTCCTCTCTAAAACATGGGGAGAAGCTGTGGTTTGCCATCAGGATTGTACCCTTTGTCTCCCCAAACCCAAGTGAGTGCCTATAGATCTATCTAAGCTGTCCTTCAGCTTATTCAGTGCCCAGTCTTATTACAAGTGGTAGCTTCATAGAAATAGCTTTATGGGAGACAAGGTTTTGGAACAAGCCAGTTGTCTTCTTTTAAGGTCATAGGTTTAGTTGATAGAGACAACAGTGCCGATGCAAAATATTTGGATTCATCAAGACGTTCCACTAAGCGTTCTGTGATACTTGGATTTAAAATTAGCATTAAAAGGAATGAATAAGGCATACATTTGATGGCAATATGAGATAAGGCAGGCATTGTGCTTTGAAGTTAGTTAAAGAGCTGGTTGTTAATGGGAAGGTTTAAATGACTGAGAGCACTTCCAGCAGGATCCCAAGGAGCTGATGATTCACTCACCGTTTTATATTGTTGACTCTAACCTGGGCCAATAACACGTAACATCTGCCCCAGCAGAGCGTGCCGATGACACAACGTCTGTCGGTGTGCAAGAGCAGGCTGCTCAGTGAGGAAACTGCTGCTGCAGTGGCTTTCCTGCAGGTTGTGTCCTGGGCAGGATTGGCTGTCAGGTGTGAGAGCTGTCTGCTCATCTCTTGGCTTTTCATGTGGCTGTGCTGTCAGCCGGCCGCCTTCCCGTGGGGATTCCCTCCTGCCTTCAAAGCGGACACCTAACGCTGCCATTGCCACAGAAGCACCAATTTCAGGGTCTCTCCTCTGACTGTGATGACACCTGGAAGAAATGAGTCAGCCTTGGGACTTTTCTCTCTGAGTGAAGGTTGGCTTGGTTGGGAGGCGTTGTGTTATGAAAGGAGAGGATGGCAGATGCAGCATGGATGGGTGCGTGAGGATGGTGCTTGACCCCAGCATCCCCTTTCTGTGCCTCCTCGTCCAAACGGATGCGAGAGGCTCACAGCAGCTCAAAGAAGGATTACAGAAATGATGCAAGAGCTGGTAAACGTGGCTAATGGTGGGTCTTAATAGCTTAAGAACTCCACATGTTCTACTTGCTGAAAGGAAGGTCGCAAAGCAACGCCTCTCATACACGAGCAGCCACAGCTCAGCAAGGACCTACAGGTGTTGTCAAACTCAGCCTGGCAGCAAAGCATTAGCAAAGGCAACCTCTTGAGATTGCAGGGTTTAGGTGTGAGAAATCTCTGTCTGCCCTTCAGTGCTGGAGGGAGCCAGCCCTATAGGCTTGGTAATAAGTCACTGCGTGAGGGCACTGCTGTCACACAGCGTGGTGGGAAATGGTTCTGAGCAGCAACTGCTGACCCATCCCGTGTTTTGCTTTCCAGGAGGGAGTTCTCAGAGCTGCTGGAGAAGTTTGGCTCCCAGAGTAACACTGGCTCTGCACGGAGCTCACCAGTCCTCCATGGTGGCAGTGAGTACCAGTGCCAGCAGCTCCATGGCTGCCCTTCATCCCTCTGCCAAGAGAGATTTCTTTGTCTCAGAGTTATTTTGGATGTGTTTTAGTCTGATTTGGTTTGGCTGAAGGCTTGAAGGAAGTGATGTCCCAGGGCACGCAGGGCACAGCTGGTTTAGCCTGCACAGAATGAAGCAGCAAGCTGGCACCTGCACTGTAAATTTTGGGAGGATTGTGCTGGGGCTATAACAGCTTTCCAGATACCTGGACTCAACTGAAGTGCTGGTCTGGTAATCCCAGCAATACCTGTCATTTGAAAAGGGAAAGTGCTTAATGAGGGACGAGGTTAAACTAAGCCAGGTGCCATTATGCCAAGTCACATATGCATGGGGATAGATGTCTTTCTGGGTTGGCATTCCATGAGAAGGCTGGCAGCCCTTTCTCTGTGGCAGACAGCTGGCTGACAGCCTCATGCTGCACTTGTGCTGAGGATGCTGAATGCTTCCTCTCCACAAGCAATATGTCTTTCCTATGTGGTTTCCCCCAGGAGCTTGGAAGCTAACCAGTCCCAGCTGCCAGCAGTAGAGCAAAGCAGGAGGGTGGCATTGGTGAATTTTTGTTCCTTGAACTGACTGTGACTTTGCTGTTCAGGTCGATACCTGGAAAGCACATCCTCAGGCTCCTCCTCGCGCTCCCAGAGCCCGCTGCTGCTGAGCCCAGCCAGCTCCCACGGCCCCTTCATCGGCAACCCGGCGCATGCACCCCACGCACAGTACGTACAGCCAGGCCCCGGCGTGCCATGGTGTAGTGACCCACTCACAAGTCTGCAGGGCAAGGTGCCCATGGTGCTTTTCACAGCATCGTAGAATGGAATCATTTTGGTGGTTGGATAAGACTTCTAAGGTCATTGAGTCCAACCATTAGCCTCGCACTGCCAGGTGTTCAAAGGCTTGGATGCGCTGGTTTTCGTGAGCAGCTGGTAGTAAATTGTTGGGGCATTTCAGTGCTTGGCTTCTGTATTGTTGTTCTCTGTAAGGGAGGGAAGGGATGCCCCTCTCAAATGTAGTCTCTTTAAGGAGACGTGTGTACTGAGGAGCTCCAGACCACTTGCTGGTCAGAAAGATGCCACGTACCTCTAACACTGTTTTAGAGGGAAAAACAGAACGTGACTACAGTGTTCAAAGGATGGCTTGTTCATCCTTATGTGTTCTATACTATTGCAGCACCATGATGGCTTTTCATCCTTATGTCTTCTATACTACTGCATCACCACGATGGCTTACAATAGTATTACAGTACCCATTCCAGATTGTCCCCTAGCTGTCCTTGTCACAGCAAACAGCTCTCCTCTTCCTGCCAAACCTGTACCCCAAAAGCTGAAAAGCTTTCCCAACAAAATGGTCAACACATTTGGGTCCTGGTTAACCACGCAACCGCTCGTCTTTCTCCTCTCTGAAACACGGGGAGAAGTTGTGGCTTCCCACCAACCATGAGAACGGTACCCATCGCCTCCCCAAACCCCACTGAGCACCTCTGTGAGGCCACCAATGCCATCAGAAGGTGCCTGAAAAGCACATTTCCTATTGTCCTGCTCCTGGCACACCAACATGGCGCAACAAGCGGATGAGCGCCGCCGTGAGCCGTGGCCGACTGCAGACACCTCGTCCTTTGGCCTCAGGAGCGTTTCCTGGAGTGTGTGTTTTCATGTGGTCATCTGGCCCTTTCATATTTCGCAGGGTCAGAGGTTTGGGCAGGCAGAGCTTGTTTTTGGCTGAGTCTCCTCTCCAGGGGTTGCCCTTCGAGAGACGCGCAACGCGAAGGGTGTCAGCAGTGCTGGAATTGGGACCTCTCGTCCCCAGGGCCCACAGCTCCTCTTCCTTTGACACTGTAAACAAGTTGAGCTGCTGCTGCAGAGAATCAGGCCTCGCTGCAGAACCAGTAAATCCTCTTGCTAAATATCAGCCCTTTATTAGGGATTTGCAGAGCACAAATATTTGGCACCAGAGGTTTAAGCTGCTTGCACAGAGTGAGAGACCCTTTCAGAGGAGAGGCCAGCTCATCTCCTTGGCAGCTGGTTTGGATAAAGCAGACATCTTCCCTCCTCAGTTAACCTCTTCTGGCGGTTCTGCATTTCTTAGGACAGTGGTTTTTCATACTTTAAGGTGCATGGCACATTGAGGCACGGATTGCTGTCGGCCCAGAGCACAGCAGCACACTGTGGGGTTCTTAAGCACTCTTAACTGTGTGGCAGTTGTTGCTGTGAATGTGTTTGAGGGCTTGATTCTCAAGGCATCTTGCAAGGCTTTGAGGTCAAACTTGGCTTGAAATACCAAGTCAGCTTCACTTTGACTCCTGCTATGGATGTTTAGTAGTTAGCCAATCTGTCTGGTAATTTAGGTTGGATTTTGAATGATAACCTCATTAATTCTTTGTGTGCTTTGGGCACAAATCTATACTGGCTAAGCCTTTAGTTTCTTCTGTCTTTAAAAGCACATTTCTTTAAATGAAAACAGGTATTCCCCACATTCAGGATTAGGCAAGGCAATTATCTTCCTAATGATAAACAATGTCTGCTGAGAAACTGGAGTCCTCATCTCCTCCTTCCCATGTGGGGTGGATGGATGCCCCATCCCTGCAGGCATTCAAGGCCAGGCTGGATGTGGCTCTGGGCAGCCTGGTCTGCTGGTTGGTGACCTTGCACATAGCAGGGGGTTGGAACTGGATGAACACTGTGGTCCTTTTCAACCAAGGCCATTCTATGATTCTATGATAAAGAGATACAGAGGCAGAAAAGATCAGGAGAAGTTGGGAGGACCCTAAGCATGAGGAAAACCAGGCAGAGTTTGTCTAGAGACAGAGAGAAATAAACCAGGTCATCTTGAGTCACCTGCTAACCTCTCTCCCTTGCAGCTACTCCATTGAATCAGGAATCCAGAGCATTTCCATAGCAAAGTCCTCTGGCTTAGGGCTGACGGTCAGCGGTGGAGCCAACAGGCCTGATGGTCCCATGGTTTATGTCCAAGAACTTACACCAGATGGTGACTGCTATAAGGTAAGTCAGCGTAGGAACCCTCAGTGCCTTTGAATGGCAAGTTCTAGAAGCTCCAGCTGTTCTGAAGCAGAGGGATGAGTAATGCATTGCACGGACTAATGGAGATTTGTATTGCAGAAGGAGTTGGGCAGAGGGACATTCTTTCCCAGTGCTCCTTCTCTTTGTTTAGGATGGTCGGCTCCGACCCGGTGACCAACTCATTGCTATCAACAGAGATTCTTTGGTGGGCAGCACACTGGAAGAGGCCAGAAAAATTATTGCAAAAGCCAAATTCAGGTAGGCATGCAGTACATCTCCTGTCATCAGCACAGTGTAACAATCTTGGGGAGAAACACTTCATGTCCTGCCAACCTTTGGCTTCAGGAAGCAGGATGCTCTTTTTGTTAGAATGGCACTTCAAGGTGGCTGTGATACAAAGAAATGTTGACAGCCTGGACCACCCCAAAGTGTAACACGGACCTTTCCAATGCCCTGTCCTTGTGAATATCCCCCATAACTGCCCAGCAGGGTTGCACTATAGAACTTACACCCAAACAAACAACCCAGCTGGTGGAGATCCCACTACACTGGTGTGGATTCCATTGGCTTAAATGAGATTGCCCTGAAGAAAGAACCACGGGCACGAAAGTTCTGCAAATTTCAGCCACGCTTTATTCATTCTTAAAATATTTTCTACTTGTTGTTCATTTCAGACATGAGGGAAACACAGAAGTGGCCTTTATTCCTGGAAGGGGACGGTTACATCCCGGGCTGTCAGCTCATAACAGCATCCCATCGCCACCACCGAAGGCTGTGGGAAATGGGCTGAGCTCCTGCAGACTGAAGGTCCACGTGAGGTCCCCAGAGGTAGGCTGAAAATTCAGGTTTGAGACCACAGACCACAGTCCTGTGATCTTCCTCTGATCAAAACACCCCTTTTTTTAGGGACTCCATGGTAGCCTTTCTAGACTGTGAACAGTCTGTAGGGTTGGAGTATACGGCTCTGTTTTGCAATCAGGTATTTTAAAGCTGAAATATTGTGTCTTCTGTTTTGGGTTTGGGGCAAACAACAGGAGCTTTGTCTCCAGAGCCTCCATCCAGACCTGTTTCAGGAGTCTCAGGTTTAAAAAACAGCACTGCCTGGATAGCAACCTGCATCTCATTCCCCAGCAGCCATAGGGCTGGAAGGGATTACGAGAGTCGGTTTGATCTAGTTTCCTACCTAAGGCAGGAACAACTCTTTGTTCTTAAAGACCTCTGATGAGGACGAACCTGTAGCATTCCTAAGCAGCCCATGTCTACTCCTTGCCAGCCTAATGATAAGACAGGCTCACGCTTCCTTGCTCTGTGCTGTGTTTGTAGATGTGAGGGCTGGAGCTGTGCACAGTGATATGGGATTTAACCACGCAACCCCCACGATAATTTAGGCCTGTGGCTGGGCTGTGTGCAGTTAGCATTCCTTTCCTGGATTGTTGCAATGCCTGGTGTATCGCCCGCCCTTTTCCACCTCAAATGCCATAAGAAAAGGCTGGATGATGTTTCCTTTTGTATGAGCATCATTCCCAAAAGGTTCTCCTTTCCGGACCCTGTGGAGACACAGACTTGCAAGAATGCCAAGCACATGTTGCCTTTGGCTGTGCCAAGCTGCAGACTTGCTTATGAAAGCCAGCCTTAGCCTATATATACACAGCTGAGTAGTATGGAGAGATCCTTTATCATCCAGCTTGTGTAATTCTCTGTGCGTGTGAAAACAAACTGCTGGCTGGAATTAAATTTCTCCTTTCCTCACTTTGTTGCTAAAAGATGGAACTCTTAATGAAGGCTCAGCTGGGCTGTGGCTCCTTTCTCTTCATCCTCAGGCTTCAGCCCACGAGCTGATACTTGAGGAAGGTTGGGCACACATCTCTGCTTCCTGTCACACTCATTCTGAGTTATGTTTGGGTTGAGCACAGTCAGATTGAGGACCTCACCTGTGTTCTGAGTGCAGAGGCTTATGGAGAACCCCTATGGAGAAAGCTCAGCAAGCCAAACTCATCCTCAGTTTTGCAGTTAGAGCAACCATGAACTCGCATTTTCTGTGTGCAGATACCTTGGGATGGCTCAGAGACAGCTGGGTTGCTCTCTCCTGAGCTCCTCTGCTCTGTGTTTACACCACCAGATTATGCTCAGCGATTTTCTATGCCTTCTTTGTTGTCTTTTTTCCTAGAGCAGACACGAAAATCATTTTCCTGTGCCTTCTTTGTCACCAGATATCTGCCCACCAGAGCTCACTGTCTCAGGTAAGAGCCTTGCTCCTCACTGGGTCTGTGTTGGCCACAAGCACAGCCGTGGCTCCTTGGTGCTGAGAAGAATGAGATTCATTTCCAGCAGCATTTATATTGCTGTAGTGGAATCTGATGTTGTGATAATGACACTCATCCCAATAGGAGAGAGGGAAGGTGGTGTACCCAGTAGTTGTTATGCCCATGTTGACTTATCCATAATAGCAAAAGTCTTTTCTAAGAGGTTTGGAGGAGTGCTGTCTCCTACAGGCAATAGGAGACAGTGCTTGTCCCATGGGTTTTGTTTGCAGCAGCACCTTTGCCCAGGTGCAAAGATCCTTGCAGGCAGCATTCCTTTCTGATGGGAATGAAAAAAGAACTGTCTCATGGAGACACAGCACAGCAAAAAGTTGTACTGCAGATGGCAGTCCCAGAATGTGCAGGCATTAAGGTTGCTCTCAGGTGTTCAAATCAAAGTTGCTTCTAGATGAGATTGTCAGGTTTCTCTTATGTCCAAGCTTAAATTTTGCCTACTTTGTCATGCTGCCCATGCTCTGAGCCCACTGGGAGCTGGTAACCTGGTGGGACAGCCCCATGCTGTCCCCAGGGGGCTGAGCTCAGATCCCCATGCAGCTTCATCTGAATCACAGGAATCACAGGAAAGCTCAATTACACCCATGATTTGGGGCCTGGGGAGATTACTTTCAGCAAGATCCCATATATTCTTCTGGTACAAAGGTTACTTCTGCCCACAAAGGTGGGCTTTGTTACCATGGCAGTGAGTCCCAGCAGGCACTGTCTTGGTTTCAGGGAGGCTTTTGTGTGGCCACAACCAGCAGGCATTGCTTTTGGTGATGGGGAGAAACCCCCCCCCAGGCCATGGAGGCAATCCAGCAAAATAGCAATGACCTAATTGCTTCCTGCCTTAGCTGGGGGATTTTGTTGCACACGTTTGCTTCATGCCGAGTGCTGGGAAGGCTTTGTGTTGGTGTTGTCACCCATGAAAGCAGACAAGTGGCTTTGAAAGAACAGCAAGCCATGCTCAGAGCCCAGGACAGAATTGCCTGGAGGTAGAAGACCAGCAGACGCCCTGGATATCCGCATGTCCAGAGCTGACAGCAGAGCTGAGCTAATCCTGATCAGCCATGCTCAGAGGTAACAGCTCTGCCCTTGAACTTGGGGAATGAAGTGCTGGTGGCCAATCCAGCAGCCCCATGTGTTACATCTTCCTGCTTCCCAGCTGCTGCCATTAGCAGAGCAGATGAATCCTGGGATTAGGATGAGGCGTGTGCCTGCTGGGCACCACTGAAGGGCTGGACCAGAGATGGGAGCCCAGGCTGTAAAGCAGATCTCAGGCAGGAAAAAAGAATTGGTCCTTGGGAGAACACCATGCTGCTGGCATGATGAGGGATTGCCATGCTGTAGGGTGAGCAGAGCCACCCTGAGCTTCTCCCAGGGTTAATTGTGGGGTTTTCCCCAGGGATGAAGGAACACGAGTGCCATGGCAGTGTTATCTGGGCTCTGTATCACTATTGTGCTTTGGGAACGGCACCTGCAGGGAGCAGCCAGCTGTCAGCAGAGGGTTCTCCCCATCCTGACATAGCTCCAACCTGCACAGCTGCTGCCCTTTCTCCTCTCACAGGAACATTTCAGCTGCAGTGCATGCAGCTCCCACCCCAACACCCTGCCTGGGCAGCCTGGGAAAGGAGCCCAAGGCTTTTTGCAGTCCTGGGGAGAGAAGTCGTCTTGCATTGGTATTTTTCCCCATTGCTTAATCCCATGGGAGCTATGAAAAGCCAAGGCTTCCCATCATACAACTTTGTTCCTTAGCTTTTGGTTTTGCTTAATCAATTAGCCTAGACAAGACCCAGGTGGATTTATTTCTTCTTTTAAACATATCCCCACAATTACAGACCCCAGGAATCCAAAAACTTATGGTTCCTTGGTAGCATTTTGGCAGTCCTCAGGTGGAACATCCCACTTTAAACCACGAGGAAGCCCACATTTAGTATGGGTTTGCCATCCCCACCCCCTCCCCCAGTGTCTGGGACCACATTTAACAAATCCTGCTCTTCAGTTGTGTTCTGCTGCATGCACATTCTACTTTATGTAACCTGAATGATGCTTCACAGGCACTTCTTTCCTCTACCCAAGCCCTCTTCCATTAACATTTACCCTTGGTGTTTCAGCACCCTGCTCAGCCCCCAGCCTGAGAGCAGCCACGGGCTCCAAACCCAAAGTAGCACTGGATCCCCACATTCGCCTCAAGGATGGCAAGCTGGAGCTGGTGAGTGTATGGTCCCAAAGTGACACCTCCTCCCCATCCTCCCGGGGTGCTCTGTGCAGAAAAACACCCATGGATGTGCCACCAGTCCCTCGTATGCTGAATACTAATTAAAGGTGGGTGGGTGGTCTGCATGCAGCCTGGGATGCTGCTGCAGGGATCTGGCCCTGGGCTGAGAGCAGACACAGCACGACTTGGTGCTGAGCTGGGAATGGTTTGAGAGCTTTCCATTTTGCACTGATATTGCGTTTGGGCATGGGAGGGCTGTACCAGGTGTTAGCATTGAGGTCACTGTGTCACTTGCTTTTCAGAGGGATTAAAAATGGCAAAACTGAATAGAAATGGTCAGAGGGAATCAGCCTGGCTGTTTGCACAGAATAAAGCTGCTGTGCCTGATCGGTGCTCTAAGCAGCACACAACATCCTGTACAAAGCAGGGGCTGCTGCAGCCACCCAGGCACAGCAACAGCCCAAGCACACAGAGCTCGAAGTGCTGATTTCCATGGTGCCATTGCACTGCTCACGTGCTGCAAATAATTAATCCAATCATGACTGAAGATTCTGGAAAAGCCCTGCATCTCGACTCTTCAGTTTGCTGGAGGTTGTGTCCAGCTTTAGGAGCTCCAAAGGGAGAGCAGGGTGAGCTGAGCATCCCAGCTGTGTGCCGAGAGGTACTGGAAGAACTTTGGTTCGTCTTGGCCCCCTCCCAGTGCTGCAGGCAGCCCCAAAGCCCCCAGCAACGCCTTCCCTCGGCTGTACAGTGCCTTGCTCCCCGCTCTGGTTTTGGGGTGCATGTGCCTCTTCCCCCCCGCTCCTGGCACTGCTGTTTTAGGGGCAGTGCGGGAGCGCTCAGCAGTGCGGGGCTCCGGTGAGCATCTGCTGCCACCGCCCGGCAGCGCGGGGCTCCTGCCCGCACACGGGCTGCTGAGTTCTCCTAAACCTGCAGTTCTCCTCCTCCTCCTTCTTCTCTTCTAGTCCCTCTCCTATCCTCTGCCCTCCATCCCCTGCCCTATCCCCTATTCTATCTCCCATCCCATCCTCTATCCTATCCCTTATCCTCTATCCTCTATTCTGTCGTATTCTATGCTCTATCCCTTCCTAATCTCTATCCTATCCCCCATTCTCTCCCCATCCCATTCCATCCTAACCTTTATCCTCTATCCTCTGTTCTGTCCTATCCTATCCTCTGTCTTACCCTCTGTCCTACCCCCAACCCTCTCTCCCAACCCAACCCATCCCATTCTATCCCATTCCATCCTCTATCCTCTCCCCCCATCCTCTCCCCCCATCCTCTCCCCCCATCCTCTCCCCCCATCCTCTCCCCCCATCCTCTCCCCCATCCTCCTCCTGTTCTCCGAGACAGGCTTTAGGATTGTCCTTGCCTTGCCTATAAACCAGCCTCTCTGCAATGTGAGGAGCTCAGGCACTTGGCATTCCCTTCCAGAATCCATTGCTGGGAGAGGTGGCTGCTGTAACTCTGGTAGGGGTGCACACTGTGTGCATCAAGACATGGTGGGGGCACCCATGTGGAGTGTAGGACTTTTGAGCAGGAGACAAGGGTGCAGCTTTAACTTCAATCTCAGCTCGTTCCCAGCTTCTCAATCGAGCTGGAATTTGTCTTTTAAAGCCTTTTAGTTGTTGCCTCTGGCACCAAAGTGGTGTTTGCACAGGTTTAGCCACCTCTGTGCAGTGCCCAGGGCTTGGGTTGATAAATATCTGCAGGAGCATCCTCATAATGAGAGCAATAGGTGCAGTGAAGAGGGAAAGTATTTGAATGTCTCTTGTTGCCTCAGGAAATATGCTGTGAATAGTTTTTATCCTCTCAATCCCAAGCACAGTTCAGGCTGCAAGAGAAAGAGCTCCAAGCATTTAATAAAGCTCCTGCCCATTTAATAGCTGCAAATCTGTTTGCCATCTGCATAAAACGTTCTTGGAAAGCCATGAATGCATCTCCTGGAACAGGCATTGCTGTACAGCTGTAGGAAAGGAGAGGCTGGAAATCCAGCCCAACCTTGCTCCCTCAGCAGCTGATGCCTGGAGCCACTTCCAGGAGAAACCCAGCACTGTGTTCTCCCAGCACATGCTTCAAAGCATTCTTTCTATTTAGTATTTTTCTATTAAGTGCTTTGTTGTTCCTGAGGCAGGTTCTGCAGTACCTCGGCCTGGAGGTGACCGAGGAGAAGAAGAGGCAGCTGAGGCAGAGCCTGACCACGGACTCGCAGGGGACAGTGGCCTATGGAGGTGAGCAGGCAGCTCCCCGTGGGCTTTTTAGCATCTGAGCAGCCTTGGTGATGGCTGAGAGAGGAGAGAAACAGCTGTTGGAAGGCAGCAGGCTGGGCAGAAATACTCAGTTGAGCCCTGATGTAGCCAATAATAATAAGTAGCAGACACCAAGGGTGCCTCCTCCCCACTGCACCTGACTGCAGACCAAATCTTGATGTTCACACCCATCAATACGATGCTTCTCCAAAGTGCTGAAGCCATTAATCTGGATTGTATTGCTTAGGCCAGAGGAACACCAGCAGGCAGGTGGATGACGTGGGGCAGGGAGATGCTGCTTTGGGTTCAGATGTTTGGAACTCTGAGAACCACGGTGTTCTAACAGATGATTCCAAATTATAATTATATACATATTGAGGATATGTATTTTTATAAGTGTCTCTTAACCCACTCTTGACAGCCAATGAGTTTCCCCAAGCTCTTGCATTTCTCTCCTGCCTTTTTTCCCTCAGATCTCCTCCAAGCGCTCAGGGATGTGATGCAGGACGAGCTGGATGAGGCTGGCCTGGATTCCAGCTCTGTGCTCTTCACACAGCATGAGGTGGCCAGCCTGCTGGATACATCAGCGTTCCACTCCCCGGTCAGTGCGTGTCCTTCAGCCCTGCTCCTGAGGAGCTGATGTTGTGAGGCTGTGCAGGGGTGGGTGTGGAAGATTTAGGTTGGGTATTAGGAGGATATTCTTGGTCTAGAGGGTGATAAGGTGCTGGCACTGCTGACCAGAAAGCTGTGGGTGCCCCATTCCTGGACGTGCCCATGGCCATGGATGGGGCCCTGAGCAGACTGGTCCATGGGAGGTGAACCTGCCCATGGCAGGGATTGGGGCTGGATGGGCTGTGAGGTCCTTTCCAACCCAAACCATACCGTGGTTCTTTAGCATGGAAAAGAGAAGGCTCTGGGGAGACCTCATTGTGACCTTCCAATATTTGAAGGGAGCGTATAAACAGGAGGGGGAATGGCTGTTTATGAGGGTGGGTAGTGATAGGACAAGGGGGAATGGTTTTGAACTGAGACAGGGGAGGTTTAGGTTGGATATCAGGAGGAAGTTTTTCAGCCAGAGGGTGGTGAGGCACTGAAACAGGTTACCCAAGGAGGCTGTGGATGCCCCATCCCTGCAGGCATTCAAGGCCAGGCTGGATGTGGCTCTGGGCAGCCTGGGCTGCTGGTTGGCGACCTGCACACAGCAGGGGGTTGGAACTGGATGAGCATTGTGCTCCTTTGCAACCCAGGCCATTCTGTGATCAGATTCCATGAAACTGTGTAGCAGGCTCATCTCTTTTAATAAAGAAACAACAGCTCCTATGGGGTGATGTGAAAGCAGCAGCCTGTGTCAGTCACAGTGATGCAGAAGGAAAACTAGCCTTAATTAATCAATTCCAACTAATTTTGCTTGGTTCAAAATGAAAATTCACTGTAGAACATCTACTCTGTGTCTGTCAGGGATCAGAGACTCAAATACTGGGATGGAGGGGAAGCCTTCAGTTGAATTATTTAGTGTTCCTTTTGATCTTCTTCCTACAAATGCCATCTCCTTTTCCAAATTAGTTTGATGTATAGCTATTCTAGGGGTGGGAAGCAATGCACCTGCAACACAACTCGCTGCTTTTGATTGAGTGGTGCCTAAAGCTGCCTGTCCTCTGCCCTGTGCCTGCAGACCCTTGACTCGCTCAGCTGTAATGGCAGTGAGGAGATGGAGCAGCTGCAGCTGGAGATGACCGACCTGCGGCAAGAAGTCCGAAGGCTGAAGGTGGGATCTCTCCTCCATGTAGACCGCAGACCGGATCTCCTCTCCTCTCCTCTCCTCTCCTCTCCTCTCCTCTCCTCTCCTCTCCTCTCCTCTCCTCTCCTCTCCTCTCCTCTCCCTCTCCCTTTTAGGGGATGTCCTATCGCTTGCTGCTTCTAATCTGGTGAAAATATTTCCCTTAGTCTCTCCTGAAAGAGGTGGAGAACAGTAAGAAGTCAATGGAAGATGAGCTCCAGAGGCTGAATCAGGTGAGTGAAGAGCTGGCTCATTGGATATGGCACAAAATGTTGATTTTTTTTTTCTTCTTCTTTTTTCTTCTTTCTTTTTAACATAAGCACCCCCAGGTTGTCTCTGACCCAGAAAGGGGATGCAGTGCATTCACATGGCTTCTCACTGCTTCCAGAAAGCCCTGGGCTTCCTTTCGGAGAACCGGACACTGCACAGCAAGCTGCAGATGGCCGAGGTGGTGCAGAGACAGGCGCACAGTGCAGAGCAGGACTATGAGGAAGTGATCCACTTGCTGGAAGCTGAAATTGCAGAACTGAAGATGCAGCTGGCAGGGAAGAAAACAAAACACGTCTCTGAGATAGAGGTAATGAAACTCCTGAGCCTGGGAATACAGACACATATAGACAGGACTGAACAACAGTCCTGATCCATCTCTGGAGGTTCCACCCCCTCCTTATAAAGGAGAAAATCATGGTAGCACATACATCACTTGCTGTATTCTACAAGGCCAGCGCTGCCTTTGGATGTGCACTATTATCCGTAAAGTTCCCACCATCCATTCCAAGAGAACTGTGGCTTTCTCTTTATAGCAAATGCCATAAGCTGGCATTTCCAAGAGCTGGGGCTGGAGTGTGCTCATCACCTTTCTCTCTCCTGGACAGGAGGACATCCTGGAGCTGAAAAGACAGCTGTCCCTGGCTGATGGCCAGTTACGGAAATCCGAAGTCTCACGGAAGCGCCTGGAGATCTGCAATAGGAAACTGCTCCTGTTTGTGCAGGTGATGTGCTGAGCTGCCACCAGCGCTGCTGGCATCACTGTGGCTTCTTCCCTTATGAGAGATTTTGCAAGTCCAACTCATTTCCTGGTCCATAAGAGAGAGGTTGTTTTATTCCTTCTGCTTCTAACAAGGCGCTGCCTGTGTTGGTTAGGAGAAGCTGAGCAGTGAGCTCAGAGATGCTCATGTACCCACAAGCTATGTAATGGCATGGGGCAGATGATGGAGCCTGGAGGCCTTGCTGACCCAGCACATGTGTCCCCTGGTGCTGGATGTGATAGTCAGAATCGTTTTGCATTTTGGCCTTCCCTCTGTAAAACACACTGGTTGCTTCTATGCACAGCGAGCGTGAATTTGAGGAGTAGTTTTACTCTTCCAGAGCTTCTTTTAAATTGTCTGTTCCTCCACTTCATTGCCTGTGGTGGGAATACAGGCTTGTAAAGTTAGTAAACCAGCCAGCATGGGAAGCATTAGGACTTCCAAATGCTACAATAGCAATAACTTGTCCCAGGAACTCTTGAAATCAACAGGAAACAGTGGAGAGAAAGGAAGTGAATGGTTTTAAACTGAGACAGGGGAGGTTTAGGTTGGATATGAGGAGGAAGTTTTTCACACACAGGGTGGTGAGGCACTGGAACAGGTTGCCCAAGGAGGCTGTGGATGCCCCATCCCTGCAGGCATTCAAGGCCAGGCTGGATGTGGCTCTGGGCAGCCTGGGCTGCTGGTTGGCGACCTGCACACAGCAGGGGGTTGGAACTGGGTGAGCATTGTGCTCCTTTGCAACCCAGGCCATTCTGTGACTCTATGAATTTAAACACCTCGGGATGTGCAGCACCAGGCACTGGGCTGTGTGAAGTTTCAGGCTGGACTTTGCAAGTGGGTTTGGCTTGGACCAAGGGACAAAAATCACAGGATTTTGTCTCCGGGGCCAAAATGTCTCCTTGTTATACATCCCTCAGTAGTATCTGAGCATTCATTAACCACAGGGACAAATTACATGAATAGGTATCATTCGGAAAGCAGGGATTGTTTGGTAGTGATGATCATGGGCTTGCTGAAATGTAGCCTGCCAAACCACTCTTTAGAAGAGTATTTTTACGTTGTGTTCAGTATACTTTATTTGCTGGCATTAAAATGCATAATTTAGAAGTGTCTGCGTATTTGCATGGGCTGTGAATGTTGCCTGTGCTGCAAAAGGCCTTGAGATATTTGCTTCAAGGGCAATGAATAAGCAGAAGCTGATTACTGTCATATTAAATCTGATCAGCAGCAGAAGCCCATGGGGTTTATTCTCAGGAATTATTCGTCCCTACAAGTCTGAAACCTTTTATTTTGTTTTGATTTTGTTTTATGGCAGAACGTTCACAAGGTCCTGAGCACGTCCAGTCACTTACAGGATGAGAAAAGGTAGGAGATGGCTTCTGGGAACTGCAAACCAGGGACATTTCATTTTCTGACCTTTCTCAGGGGAAGGTGATTCACACAGAACTGACCTCTGCTGTCACTTTGGGAAGGAAACCATTGGGAAATGATGCTGTGGGGGCTGCAGATGAGTTGGTACTTTAGGGGCAGCTGGCCTCTGTTTTTTGGGGAAATGAGTTAGGTGAAGCACTCCTGTGGTTAAGCTGCTCCTGTTAGCACAGCCCCTCGGCAAGTTGTTTGAACGAAGCAGAGTTGTGACTCACCTGCTTTTCCTAATATGAATCACTCTTTGGCTTTAGGGCCACGTACTTCTCTATCAGCAGCTGTGGAAGCTGATAGAGTGAGTGGAAGCAAAGAGCAAACGTGACCCTTAACTTCAGGAATGGTCGCAGAAAGGAAGGTCAGGGCTCCTCTAACCCTTGTATCAGAATTCTATCATGGGAAGTCTGGTTGTGTTTTGCTTTCTTTTGTTTTATATGGAATCACCTGCTGAAAGGTCACAGTCCTGTTGGCAAAGACAGCCCCTTAAAGAAAGCTGATTTCTAAGTGATGTTAAGGGGAAACAATTCTTTAAAACGGTGAGGTTTTCAGGATGGTTATTTCTATGGTAATGAAGGAAAAAAAGGTTGTGAGGAATTCTAAACAAAATGGAAATTCTAAAAAAGTACTTTGGTAGTATATCTTCAATCTCTATCTGTAACAATACGAGTATATCTAAGAGAGAATCTTGTACTGCTGAGAAGGAGGGGCAGACCCCTCTGAAAGCAGTCACATAGAGTATCCTTCAGAAGAAACTGGCCAGGGTTGTCAATGACTGTTCCATGATAGAAGTATTGATGGCACTTTCCGTATTTGTAAGAGTCAACAGTGAAACAGAAGAGGATAAAACAGGCGCAGTCTCAGATACATCTCTTCCATCTTCAGATCTTGTTGACCTTTTGCTATCAGAAGCTAAAGAGCTGCTAGCACCAATGCTCTCCAACAAGGACGGTAAGCACTCAGCTGACTGGAGAAACCCGAATCCAAGCAAGTCTCAATGATGCTAATTGTTAGCATTAATTACACTTTCCACCACCCTCCATACTTGTTTGCTGTACCAGCTAAGTCTCCCTTGAATGTTCCCGATTCTTTCATGCTAACTGAGATGTAATTGCCCTCTATATACCCATATGACTTGTAGATGGGTCTGGCAATCAGGCTTGTGGTCTAAAGAATCAAAGAGTGTGGTTTGTGCCCAGGACCAGAGGAAAGGTACTTGTCCTGCAAAGAAAAGGAGTAAGGAGGATGGTTTCATAGAATCACAGCAATGCTATGAAAGGATCTACTTGAGATCAGCAGTCAAATCTCCTGTTCCAGGGAGGACCAACACACTAGACCAGATCTGCAGTGCTTTTAGCCAATTGCATTTTGAACACCTCCGAAAATGGAGATCTGCAGCCTCTCTGGAGAATGTCTTCCCGAGCTGCACTGTGCTCCGTGCAGAAAAAGATTTTCCTAATGTCTAGTCTGAACTCCCCAAGGTGCAACCTCTGGCTGTTGCCCCCAGTTGTGTCGTCTGCCACTGCCAACAAGAGTTTGGCTTCAATGTCTCTGTAATTACCCTTGAAGTAGGAGTGAGTGCTGTGGGATTGCTTTTCAGCCTCCTCTTCGCCAAGCTAAATAAGTTCAGCTCCCTCAGCCCTCCTCGAGCTCCCCTTGCAGGTTCTGAGCCCCAGGGCTGCCTTTGTTGAATTTTATCCAGCTTCTCAGCAGCTTTGAACTGGGAACCAAAGCCTTCATTCACCATCCTGGCATGAGTGCAGCAGTGCTGACTGGAGGGGAAGAGTAATCTCCCTGCTTCCTTGGCATACAAGTCTGGTAACCCAGGCTCCCTTCCACTCTCATGGCTGCAAAAGGGAGAAAATCAGTCACCAAGCATCTGAATTAACTTTCCAGCCTGAGGTTGTCAGCTGTGATCCGTAGATGCTTCTTAGCAGCAGTTATTTGACCCCACTTGTCTCTTTCCATGCAAAAGAAGAACTTCTAATCCTGTTGCCGTGATCAGGGGAGCATGCAGCCCCAAATGTGTGCCCACTCCTTACTCTCTGATGCCATTCACCAACTGGACACACTGCCACAGCCTTTCCTGCACTGCTCTCCAGCATTGCCTCCTCTCAGAGCACAGGATGCAAGGAAAATAGTGATAGCCTTTGAGAAGCACTCCTAATAGAGGAGCATGTCAGCATTTCCAGAGTGCCTGCGTCATTTATGTGTGTGTTATCATGATGCAGCAGTGTTACTTGTATTGGGCATCCTTTCTAACCCTTTGCTTACTCTTGGTTTTACACTTGCAGCTTCGCCGTGTGACAGGGACCAGTGCCTGCCTGCTGAAGGGCTCCCAAACTACAAGGAGTAGGTGTCAAAATCTGTCTTGCTGTGTACATTTTACATCATAACTCCTATTTTTTTTTTATTTTTTTCCTTGGCAGTTTTGAACCAGATTATCTGATAGAGACCTTCATACTGTCATAAGAGAGAAGGAAATCCTCTCCTAGGCAGCAAAAGCCTTCTCACCCAGCAGAGCGAAGTATGGTGTGAATTCCTGGATCTTTTTTTTTCCCTAAAATCTGCTTTTTCCTTCAGGCCAGATGGAGAATCACGGCTCTGTGGCATTTTTTAGACCACTGTGAGCTCTGAGCATGGGAAAAATCCTCACTGAATGCATGAAGCTGTTATGTCACGGAATGACGGTGTGCTGAAGTTCCAGCCAAGAATGATAGGACATGTATGGCTCTGTTTGGATCTTCAGTGTTCTAAGAGTTTCCCTGAAACCTCTGAAGTGAATTACATCCAACAGAGCCACGTCCTGAAGATATCTGCTGAAAGAGCATGTTTTTGAGCCCTGAATGTTTGTGACAACTGTGTTAACTGATCACCTTAAGTGAACTTTAGAGTCTGCCAGCATGGAGGCAGTTAGGTACAAAGTAGGCGTTTGCAATCCCTGGTTTCCAGGTTAGGAAAATCATTTTCAGCCAAAACACGTAGCCAGCACAATCAGCCACGTGAGATCCATGGTCTCTTCTTTTCTCCAGTCAGTAGCAAATCAGTATCACAGAATCATCAGTGTTGGAAAAGACCTCTGAGCTCATGAAGTCCAACCCATCCCACCATGCCCAATAATTGTGTCTCTCAGTGCCACAACCTCACAGTTCTTGAACATCTCAAGGTGTGGTGACCCCACCGCCTCCCTGGGCAGCCTGTGCCAATGCCTCACTGCTCTTTCAGAGAGCAATTTAGTCCTAATATCCAACCTGAATCTCTCCTCACGCAACATAGGGCCACCACCTCTCATCCTAAAGTCTTCGTCTTATCTTTCGTATCCTTTACCCAAGTTACAAAAACCACTTTTTCGTTTCAGCCATCTCCATCAGAAGACCACGTGGCCTCCTCCTCCCAGCCAGAACAAGGCTGACCAGCCGCAGTCACCGAGCCCAACCAAGGAGCTGCCTGCAAAGCCAACATAAACCTCCCATAAGCAGCTCGTGCTCAGAACTGCGACCGCTCGTAACGCAGCTGCTGTGCTGGGAGATGGCAAGGACACACAGCAGGAGCTTCAGCTTCCAGGCAGCCCAGAGAGAGAAATAAGCTTTCTAAAGTGAGACTGATTCCTCCTGACTGCTACCCAAGACTTTTTCAGCAACCTCCCCTGCGCGTCTACCTCTGAGCTATCGTACAAGGCTATCTGCTCTTGGTTTTGCAGCTTTATAGGAAAACTATTCTCAAGAGGTTACACAAGCCTGGATTTCACTGGCAGCCTTTTAGAGCTTGGATCCTGGGTAGTAAGAGGAGCACGGACTTATTCAAGGGACTCAGATTCCTTTTGGTATTTCATATGAAAAACCAAAGCACATTTAGCAGCTGTCATCAATGCAGCTTAATGCGTAGCGTGCTAGCTGTCTTGGGATAGGTACTTCTCTTTTTATTCTTTTTGTATAGCTTCTCTCAGCTGCGATGCTTGAAACAGAAGCAGCATCCCAGCAAGCTGCTGGGGTTGCCTGCGTGCAACTGGTGCCCGCGTGCTGCTGAGCACTGAGTGCTCTCTGCAGAGCCCAGACGTAGCAAACACACCTCAATAACAGCCTGCAGAATCACCTGGGAGCTAGATCTGCGTGATGCAAGCTTGTATGTGGTTAGCAATGGACATGGTAGAGGTCTGGGGTGAATGCTGGCAAATAGAATGAACGCACTGCTTAGCAGGTGCTGGCTTTCTGAGCTGGGTTATGCTTGCAGTCGCTGTGCCCTGAGTCTCTGGGACAAATATTTTGCTCCACTCCATTTTAACTCCCTTATTTTGGCAGCTCACAGCTACATACAGGAGTGGCAGGCAAATGGGATGCATTCTAGCTGTTACACCGAGTTACGGTTACTTTAGCTTTCCTTTGTGTGGGTTCAGGGCATCCTTTATAGCTTACAGTACATGCCTAGGAAAAATCATGATGATAACGAATACCTACTGTACTCACAGACATCACTGCACTGCTAAAAACAACGAACCGTGTGCTGGAATTTCTCAGATAAATAACCAGTCTGAAATTTCAATTGAATTTACTTTCATAGCTTGTGACTTTTTTGAACACAACTCTCAGAATGTAAATTAAAAGACTTCTTTTAAAAGGAAATGTTGTTCTTTGGACCGCTCACAAGAATACAGCCAGGAAGGAGGTGCTTTTAAACGGTATTTATCTTGTTGGGGTTTGCTGTGGTTCCCAGCTTGCTCCCTAGTGCTCCTGTTTCAGGAGCAATTGCTGGTGTTACTTGTGGGTTCAGCCCTAGGGCTTGGTTCCCATCTCACGTTATCCAGGTGGGGGAAAGCTGCAATAAGACAGTTAAGATGTGCACAGAGCCAAACCCAGTCTCGCCAGGTTGGTCTGCTCTGCATCTGGGAAAGCACCTCCTGTCCCCATGGGGTTTGTGTGGCAGATACCAATCTGCTCACAGCAGCACGTCTTCAGAAGCGTTGGGCTGCAGGCTCTGTTTGAGGGCAATGTCTCCATCCATTGCTCTCCATGCCTGCCAGAGCACAGACCAACACGGCTTTGGGAAGGAGCAGTCTGTGTGTCGTCACGTACACCCAACAGCACCTGAGACTTAAGAGAAAAGGAGCAGGTCATGGAACGTGTAAGAGCCAAGAGTGAAACAGAAGAGGATAAAACAGATGTGGCTTCATCTCTTCCGCCTTCAAATCTTGTTGACCTTATTATTATGGCCTGAAGAGTCTTGTGGCAGTCAATGGGGGTTTTGCTACCAACGCCAGTAATGATGGGATTGTCTATAAGTGTGAGTATGGAACTGAGGGCTGGAGCGAAACAGAGCAGCAGGAACAGTCCCATCCCAGCAGGGCTTGTTTTTGTGCTCTGAAACAGAGTGCATTCAATGCTCCTTCCTAGCCATGTGTATTTTAACGTCCCAAAAAGATGACATATAAAATATTTGCAGTGGGTCATGGCCTGGCAGAGGTAAACCTGCCCAAGCCCAACCACAATGCAGCTGATGCTCACATGTGGCAGAGGTTGGAAACAGAGAGATTCTGACCCAGGGTTGCTGTATTTCGTGTATCCTGAGCTGTGTGCCTGCAAAAGAGCAGGGAAGTCATTAACCTTTCACAAAGCCCACGCAATCCTGTGTCCCCAGCTTACTGGCAACCTCTTTGGAAAAGAAACCACACAGGTTCCTATCAGACAGGAGATCCTGGTGTCAGGCTTTGTCTGCTTTCCAAAGCAGCCACATTACTTGTTTTCCATTGTTCTCTTTGAACTCATCACGTTCCATGTGCCATTGCTTCAAGCACAGAAAACTTTCCATTCTCCTATTAATAGCCTTGTCGCTAACTGCTACCTTTCCAGAGAAATGTTGGGAGATAACACGACTGGAGATGCACTCCTGGAGGTGATGCTGATTTCAGTGACCCAGAATAACAAACCTGTGTCATGCCTTACTCCTAGGTAAGTGGGATCAGGCAGAGCTCAGTGCATCGCAGGTGACATCCTATGAGAGGCAAAAAGGGGAACGTGTGAAGGGACAAAGCAAAGCCAGAGCAGTCACAGAGCATGTCATTTGAACAGGATGCATTTTATTTACACAAGGCCTCTCTGGTACTCTCAGAGAGCTGGAGTCTGTCTTTGTTTGTAGTGCCATAGCTTGCTTGTAAGGTGTTGGAAACTGCAGCTGTCACAAAACTTTGTGTCTGTGTAAGAGAGCCCCGCACACAGCAAAGAGAGGGAGAGTCTTTGGCTACAAATGAGTCCTGCAGGTCATACTGAGCTGTTAAAATGTAAATCAATGAGTGTTTCACGAGCCACTGCGGGAGATGAAAGCAGTCCCTGTGAATGGACATAACAGTTTCGACACACTGCTTGTCTATAAACTCACAAAGATGTAATAATTGAGGAGTGGGGAGGACCCCCAACAGCAGGGTCAGCTGTTGGCCTGGCAGCTTTGGGGGTCAAATATCCATGTCCTGATGGCTTTATTTTGTGTTTTTCTTATGCAAAGCAGAAGTCCAGTTCCTACCTGTGGGCTGGGATCCTTTGTTCCCTAATGAAATAAACCAAAACTAGGTATATGACTGCCTCATTTAACAGCTGCAAGATGGGGAGGTTGGGCAGACAGCCACCTCGGCATTATCTTGAAAGGTGAGTGTAGCAGAGAGCCATTAGTACACTATTTATCTGCAGCCTGATGGGTAAGGTAACCAAATCTGCTGTAAGATGTGCCGGACTGGAGCTCATTAGATCTTCTCTTTCATCTCCGTCAGTGATCTCTGCCACCTCACTGCACGACCTTGGCAGGGCGTTCCATCTCACTTTTGCACCAGAAAAAGAAGTCTTGCAGCATCAGCTGATGTAAGCAGCACGGGGAAGGCAAAGCACAAGGGACCCACAGGATATGGGGCCTGCAGGGGAAAGGACTGCTGCTCTGCGTCCCCAGTGCAGAAAGCATCAGGATTTTAACTTCTGCTGACTCTGAAAGCAGCAGCCCCGACTTCTGCTTGGTTTTTGTCAAGCAGGGCGATGTTAAACGCTAGCTGCAAGCTGTGGGAACACATTCTTCCACCAGCCCTGAGCACCGCTGGGGAGGGCAGTGTGGTTGCAAAGCCTCCTCTTACAGCTCCGTGCAGCAGCACGGGTTGGACCCGAGCCCACTTCTAGAAAGTAGAAGTGCATTTCTACACTGCTTTAAATACGGCTCTAAAAACCGGGTGAACTTTGCTGCTGAATTTTTAAAGAGGCTCTTTAATGTTTAAACGACGCTGATTTTCCAAGGGTTGTTAAACACATGTGAAAGACAGCTGGGAAGTGACTCGGTGTGACGATGCAGGAAGAGATGGGCTGTCTGTGTGATGCTGGTTTGCCATCATCTTCTTCCTGCTGTGTGAGATAGCAGGGCTGTCCACTGCCACAGACCTTCTTCAGAGGTCAGATGCTTTTGTAATGAAGTAAACAGGAATAAGAACACCTTGAGCAATCCCTACAACTTCTTTTCCACTCCTGATTCACCTCTTGCTTGAATTGCTGCTGGGTTGTTGGCTTTTTTTTTTTTTCCTATGTACACCCAGAGATGAAGCAGGGAAGTTGAAGAAAGAGGGAAAAGCCATTGGAAATGGGTGAAGTGGGAGCTGGATGGTGTCTACAGACCAGACGTCCTTCCTGGGGGTTGTTCTCATTTCTAACCACAGTGATTAGGATCCTATCAGCAGCACTGAGCTGCTGCAGGGTGAGAACTTCCTTCTACCTTGAGAAACACTGAGGGCTGAATGCCAGCCCTTGCAGCAAGCACCCCATCCATGTAGGTGATAGAACAGCAAACTGGAATGGATGGGCTTCAGGGCAGTGGGAATGCCTGCAGAGAGCTTCCTCTGGGTTGGAGCAAAGGTATCCTACCACAGCTGCAGTGTTCCAAGGGCAGCTGGTGACAGGAGACCAATGCATATTGGAGAAGGGGAACTCTAGTCAGGGCTGTCCAGCAGAGGAAAGGATGGGAAGTTACTTTCCAGGATACTGACCTGTTTTCTATGACTAGAACAAGGTAAGAGCACAGCTATTGAGGCACAAAGTAGGAACGGGTTGGTGTGTGGCAGCAAGGGGGCAGAAAGAGTATTTTTTGTTTCCTGTTCCCTTTAAGGAAACATAACATTAATAGAGGTGGGAGAGGAATACCATTCCTTTGAAAATGTTACATCCTGAATGGGAGAGGAGAGCATGAAAGCGGGTGTGAAGGCAGATGCAGGGTTTGGATGACTTGGTTTCAGCACCCAGTCATTCGGCACAGCCTGCAGGAGATGCTGGCTGCTCTGGCCAAGCAGGATGTGGCTTTCCCAGAGTTTTGCCATTTGAGGGCTCTGTGTGTTCTTTACAGAGCAATGGCAGGCTGGCCCGCTTGGTTGGAGGCAGCAGTTTCAAAAAACATTACTGATCAGAAATAGGACCGCAGCTTCCTGAAATGCCTGTCCAGAAAAGGAGATGCTCTACAGCTTGAAATGATAAGGAGGCAGGAAAGGAAACGTGATCTTGCAAAGTGTCAGCTGGTCCCCTGGGAGATTTTGAAAGGAGGTTTTTGAAGGTGTAAAACATTGCCAGGTTGGTCTCTCACATCCCCTTCTCACCTCCCCTTGGTGCCCCCGTTCTCCTGCCCACAGATGCCACCAGCATGGGCAGCTCCTCCTTGGATGCAGCCACATAGAACCATAGAATCATAGAATTGCTCGGGTTGGAAAAGACCTTAAAGATCATTGAGTCCAACCACAGTCTGACTATACTACCCTAACTCTAATAACCCACGACTAAATCATGTCCCTGAGCACCACATCCACACGTTTTTTGATTAAACGCCCTCAAGGACAACGTAGAGCTGGTGACAGCTTTCTGCTACGGCTGCCTTGTCCAGCAGGTGGCCCGATAGAGAGCAGCTCTCTGCTGTAACGCATTCAGTGGTACCACATGGGGAATTGGAGCAGTGAGGTGAGGGGTAACGCTGTGAGCACTGGGTAAGGTGAGCCCTGGGCACGGCAGATCTGCCCACCTCAGCAGCTGGGGCTCAGATGTTTTCTGCTCACCCCCTCCTTCAGGGTCCTACAGCCCTTTGACCCCATCTGCAGAACTGTGTCCAAGCCTGGGGCCCGCAGCACAGGAAGGATGTGGAACTCTTTGAGTGGGTCCAGAGAGGGCCGTTAAGATGTTCAGAGGGCTGGAGCAGCTCTCCTATGAGGAAAGGTTGAGGGAACTGGGCTTGTTTAGCTTGGAAAGGAAAAGACTCAATGGAGAACTCATTGTGGCCTTCCAATACTTGAATGGAGTGTATATACAGGAGGGGGAACGGCTGTTTATGAGGGTGGATAGTGATGGGACAAGGGGGAATGGTTTTGAACTGAGACAGGGGAGGTTTAGGTTGGATATTATTCACTCAGAGGGTGGTGAGGCACTGGAACAGGTTGTCCAAGGAGGCTGTGGATGCCCCATCCCTGCAGGCATCCGAGGCCAGGCTGGATGTGGCTCTGGGCAGCCTGGTCTGCTGGTTGGCGACCTGCACACAGCAGGGGGTTGGAACTGGATGAGCACTGTGCTCCTTTTCAACCCAGGCCATGCTATGATTCAACCCTTGCACTG